AGGAGGAGGAGGAGGAGGAGGAGGAACCCCACCACCACCACCACCACCACAGGCAAACACTATGTCCTGTAGGTCCCAATCTACCATCTGTGGCACATGGTGGTAGGATACACATTCAGAAGGGGCGGGGTTTCCACCTCTGTGTCTTTCCTGGGTGTAGCAAGTATGTCCTCTATCTTGAGATGTCTCCATTCATGGCTCCAGCTTTCTTTGGAAGACATGCCTCGTACTTGGAATCTTCAACTTTGTGGAGCCTGCATTGTACTTTGGCTTTATTTCCACAGCTTCTCACACTGACCTCTCTGGGCTTGCTTGCCCTCTACACCTTCCTCTGAAGTCTGTGTGAAAGCTTCCATGACCCTCCAATTCTTGTATTCCGAATGCTGGTGAAACCAGCATCACACTGACAATGCCAATGTCTGTTCCAGTGGGAGAAGCTAGACTCTCTTGGGCCATAACCAGCCACCTCTGAGAATGTAGATGGCTAAGCATGGTGAAATGAATCCCTTTTCAACGTGCGTCTGATAGTTTGTCATTCTAGTCCGAATTTGTACTTTTCTAGTAGCTGATGATATTCAATATCTTTTTATGTTCTCAGTGACCACAAATACATCTTCTGTGGTAAAGTGTCTATTAAAATATTTTGCCTTTAAGGGGTAGAGTAGGGTGCTTATCTCAGTCCTAACTGTTGAGAGTTCTCAGACTGTAATTTCTGGATGCATGTTAATAGGATATATGATTGTTTTGAAAATATTTCCCCTCGTGTTTGCACTGTCATTCTTAGTGAACCTTTTGGAAAACAAAAGCTTTTAATTTTGAAAATATTAATTCATTATTTTTCTATTTTTGTGTAATGTTCTTAGAAATACACTTGAAAATGTTTTTCCTAATCTCATGTTACAAATATTTTTCGTCATAGTTTTATATTTTTAAGTTTGGGTCTCTGCTCAATTTTTAAAAATTTATTTATTTACTTATTTATTTTTGATACAGGGTCTTGCTACACAGTTCAGACACATAGTGATCCTTCTATCTCACCCACCCCCAGCACTGGGATTACAGGTGTGTGCCACCATTCCTGGTTCAGAGGCCAGCAAAGCAAGTGGTACTAGGGATCAAACTGGGGTCCTTGCACTTGCGACACAGGCACTTAGACCTCTGAGCTATGTCCCCAGCCCCTGATCAATTTTAAGTCATTTTTTAATACTAAATCAAACCCAGAGTTTGTCCAATAGTACACTGTATCCTCAGCCCTCTATTTTGAGACACATTCTGACCAAGTTGCCCAGGCTGGCTTTGAACTTGCAATCACTTTTACCTTAGCCTCTCAAGTGGCTATGATTAGAAGTATGTGCCACCATACCTTGTCCTGAACCAGTGGGTCAGTCAACAAAGGTCACCTGGGGAAGCAGTAGGGAATTGAAGAGGGGACAAAGGACAGGAGACGCAAGAAATGGAGACAAGACAGGATTCTGATCAAGTCTCGTTTATTTAGGGGAGGTGTTGGGTATATATAGTGGAGGCATAGGGAAATGACGACGGCGGGTAAAAGGCGTGAGTAACTAGGAAACCCAGCTATGACAGGAAGTCACACCTCCTGGGCATAGCTGGAGACTTATGGGAAATAGGCGGGGTAAGAACTAGGAACCTAGCTCAGCAGAGGTAGGGGAGGAGAAACCTGGAAACCCAGGTGCAATAGGATTGGTGGCCTGGAGTTATTGTGCCTCCCACAATACCTGGATAAAATCAATTCTGAAAAATATTTTTGCAGGACCACATAGGGTATTTTGTAAAATAGATTCTACTTTTGGCTACAAAGTATGTGAAAGGAATTAAAGCTGCAATATACTTACGAGAATTACAGCCATACAAAGTATGTTTTCTATTACAAGATAATTAAATTAGAGTTTGATTACTAGTGCATTAGCCAAAGTTCTACTATACAGAGTAAAAGGATCAATAAGCTATATATCTACACTTATGAGGAGAAGTATTATGGTAATTATCACTCACCTGTCACCTCAATAATCAGGAAAATCTTTGCTATAATTCAGTTCTGGTGTAAAGGCCTTGAAAATCAAATGAGCAAATGGTATAATTCCCAGCTGAGTCTGAAAGTCTAGGAACTAGAAAGGGGCAACTCAAGTTCCAGAAAACATGTTAGAAAGCAGAAAAGTCTTTGGTTGTTTTCTTCACAGGAGGGCTTGTTTCTCTTGTTACCTTGACAACATCTAGGTAGAGCTTGTTCTCCATATATCCTGTGACTGATCAGTGGAGTACACATGTTTCAAGTATTTCCAATCAAGCTATTCCCATAAGCTGTGTTGTATGGACAGTAGTGAACCACACAGTTACGAGTACAGAGTTGCCATTCATTGTCTTCCCTGCCTTGCAGCAAGCACCTACCCGCCTGGCCCCAAGTGATAGCCTGTGACTCTCTCCCGCCCTCAGGCTCCAGGCTCCTGCATCCTGATCTGGCTGTCTTCCTGGGAGGAGCCCAGTGTCTCCAGTCTCCCTGCTTCTGGGTGTGCCCTGACACTTCCAGCCTCCTGGCCAGTAAGTGTTCCTAGACACAGGGAGGCTGGGTGGAGGGAGGGAGCAGGCTCATCATGGGTGGCGATGTGGTCAGGGCTTCACCTGTGGCTCTGAGAAGGATGCTGGTCTTTGTGGCCTCCCAACACTGACCAGGTAGCTTTACATGTGAAAATAAGGCAATGGGGCCAGATACCTAAGACATACATACACATTACTATTCTATTGTTTAAATTATAGCTACTGTTTCATCAGCACTGTGGAAACTGTCTCAGCCACCACTCTTAACACTTCGCAGACACTAAGTTGTTCTGAGATGCCCGGCCCTCTCTTACCTACTGCTCTCTGGTGTTGAAGATTTCATGCTAAAGAAACATCCGGTTTCTCAGTCTTAGTTGCTCACATCATTTTCAAAAATATTTAAAAGATAATTTTTAAGGGTTGGTTTTCAACATCAACATGTGCTTTGTAATTTGTTGTATGTGACTCGTTCTTCACACTCTTCAAAGACCCTTCTTAGCTGTTGTCTTTCTGAACATATGTGAATGGTGCTGCCAGACATTTGTTTCCTCATCTACTCACTGATACACGGAGAGGTTGAGTGTGTCTGTTTTATTCACTGCTCTTTACACAGTGCCTAGAAAATTATCTGTCCCGTGGTAGGTGTCAAGAAACATTAGCCAAATAGGAAAATGAACAAATGAATCTGAATAGTGCCACAGCAAGGTCTAGCATTCCCTAAGGCCTAGGCCGTTCTTCCTTTAGGACTGACAGGCGTTCATCTGTTTTTGGCGTCCTTGCCTTCCTTCCTCCTTTTGGGTGCACCTGTCCTGGGGGTGTGGAGCCAGGGCCAGGGAGCCTTCTCTTTTGAGGGCTCCCTGGGAGCCTGGTTTACAGCAGTGTCTTTCCTGGGAAACCAAAGCTGATGTCCCTGATTGCCCAAAGGAAAGGCTCGCGGTCCCCTAGACGCAGTCTCACTTTGATGAGCACTGTTCTCTGGGAGGGAACAGCTCTCTCAGGAGGGGAAGAGACAGTTCTTCGGGAGGAGACATTTGTCTGGGGACAGGAGACTAGTTGTCTGGGGATGGGACAGTTCTCTCGGGAAGGGACAGTTCTCTGGGAAGGGACAGTGTTCTACGGAGGGGAGGGGACATTCTCCAAAGAGCCCCGCAGGAGGCCCCCTCCCCCGAGCACCGGCGGGCGGGCGGGGCGGCTGCGCGGGGCGGTGCTCGCTCTCTCTGGGCGGCGCTCGGCTGCGCGGGCTCGGCGTCCTCCTCTCGATCCTCGCCTGCGCCGGCCGCACTCCCTCCTCCTCCTCCTTCTCCTACTCCTCCTCCTCCTCCCTCTCCCCTGCCCCGTCCTCCCCGGCTCCCGGGCGCGAGCAGCCGCAGGGACCGCGTTCCCTCCTGCACCAGGTAAGCGGGCGCCGGGTGCTCTCCCCGGCCTCCAGGTCTGCGGGGCTGAGCACCTCCGGAGAGCTGCGCGCTGCGCTCCACAATGATAGGGAGAAGGGGACACGGGGATGCGGAGAGAGCGTTATTTGCTTTTTTTTCCTCCCCCAAACAGCTGCAGAGCCCTGCACGGTGATGAATGAGCCCGTTAAAGTCATTTATCCCTGTGAGCTCCCCAAAGACAGCTGCAGGAAGAGGATCAATATGTATTCACGTTATAGGAAAATAAAAATCAATGCAGGGTTGTTTTGGAGGCGGGGCGCGAAGGAAGCCGCGGATCAGGCTCCAACGTCCACATCCACTTTCCCTTCCAGATCGAGGTGGAAAGCTGCGCGTCCTGCCCCTTTCTTCTCCTCCAAAGGCCTTCTTGCTGGGGGTTGGGGGTGGGGGTGCAACGCTTTTGCCTTCCTTCCCCAACCCCGTCTTTTGTTTAAGGATGGAAATTTCAGGAAAGAGTGTGAGGCCGAGTGGAGAGGTGTGTGTTTGGGGGTGGGAAAGCCGATGGAGGCAAGGAGAATAAAAAAATTCTTGAAAACTGGAAACTGATGTTGTTCCTCCCGGCATCCAGGATTCAGGATTTTGTCAGAAAATAAAAAGCTTTGGTTAGCAACCAGCTCGTTTATAACATTTGCTGCATGCCATTGGTAGTAAGTCTTCCACAGAATGCTTGCAGGCCATAGATAGACCTTTTGAAACTGAGTCAGTGTGGACCCTTTTTGTTTCAGTACACACACACATACACACACACATACACATACACACACACGCCCACACACAACCATCACCCACAAACACGTTACAAAAGAGAGCAGATACCTAAAAGAGAAAAACCTTTAACATGTACTTTGGAGGGCTTGGGGATTGTGTCGTGAATGAAATCAGGCGTGCAAAACAAAGATATTGCTGGGTGGTGTATTATCTTCAATGTGAAGTAAAAGGATTAATGAATGTTAATAAGCACTAACTTAAATACTTAAAAATTATTTCATTTTAGAATGATCCATCTGTTAGAGGAAATGACCGCAAACTGAAATTGAGGCTTGCAGCCACAGTGAGGCGGTGGAGAACAAAGCCTTTTATGTGAGCCACATTATGCAAAATGTCCCTGTGAGTGAGCTGCAGGTACCAGCCCAATGCAAAAGCTTAGGGCTGTCACCCTTGCATTGTATGGTGGGCAATTACGACTTTCTTGGCCCTCAAAATAGACTGAATAAACAAAAGGCCATTAGAACACCTTAGATTTTCTGCCCAAGGGGAAAATTACAGTTTTCCATCTGAATGTGACAAGGACACTCCTTTAATTGAGCATCAAATGTCTGTGTTTGATAGAAATCCTTAAGAATGTACAAATCTGATGTGTTTCACCACCTCCCCTTATGCACACAAGCATTTCCTCTTCAAGAAAGGGTAAAAGACATTTTTTTTTAAATAAAAAGCTTTCTATTTTTCTATGTTAACAGTGATTTCTGTGTTGTGCCTGACTGTGGTAGGTGTATGTCTGCATTCATAGTATGGATATTATCAGAGCTCTTGTGGCTTTATGATCAGTGGTACCTGGTACCCTATAGGTTGTTTCTTTGTGTGGTTTATTTAATTTTATTTACCCATATTCCCCAGTTTGCTGAAATGATGTAGTTTCTTGGGCTTGTAATTGAAAAGTGGAAAAGTGCTTCCTATACATCAGGGCACCAAAGCAGTTGAAAAATTAAGTTTCCATGTAAAAATCCTGTCTTCATTGCATTCATTTTTAGTTTTTTTTTGTTTCTCTCCTGTTGTAGTGTCTCCCATCACGACCCTCATCAACTGAACTGTTTTCTTCTTAGTTGTGCGGCTTCAAGCTTCTGGTTATAGCTAGACTAACAAAAGCAGAACCAGTGTTCCAAGAATTTTGAATTCAGGATCTGCTTACAACTCTTTCTCAGGATGACTGTGTACAGCACCTGCTCAGGGAGGAGAGGGAGAAAGAATGTGCTGAGAGAGGATGAGCCAGTGAAACTGGCAGGGCCATTACCTCATTCCCAAGTAGGTCCTTCAGCTTCTCTGAGGGCGCAGGCACCCTCTGGGTGGAAACCAAACACCAGGATCACACCCAGCTCCAGGGACGAAGCCTTCCCCTCCCCACAGCAGCTTCTGTGAATGCTGCTCTGCTGAGCTGAAAGGAATGCTTTCCCCTGTATGTATTTCTTTTTAGGATCTTAAACTTGATCGGAAATATGCAGCCAGAAATGAAACTTGGCCCAGAATCCTCCAAGCCTGAAAGAATAATTTATTCTTTTACTTCTTTTGGTTTAAATAAATTTGTGAATGTTCTAATTGCTCAAAACGAGGAAAAAGAAAATGTTTGCTGGTTGGTTTTCTTTCTTATGACATATGTATTTTATGGTGATTATATAATGGAGTGGAATGTTATGCTTTTCAAAAATGCAGTTGCACTGTTAATGTTCACAATTAAGTAGCTGTGACATTTTCTTAGATGTATATATACCTGGTAATAGGTGCATCGCTGAATGATTCATTGATTTCCTTGTAAGGCCGACCATAGGAAACCATCTGAGATTTTAGTTGTAGCCCTTGACTATTATTCTTTTCCATGCTTACTGTCCTCATCACAGACTAAGACAAAGAATCTGAAATAACAGTTCTAGTAGAACATTACAGCACCTCTAGATGAGTACTGTCGTCTTTAATGCTGAAAGCCTTACAGTCGTTTAGGTAAATCCCTGACAGGTAAACATATGGGCCTATAGATAACAGTTGCAAGCTTCTTTGTCTGTGATATACTGTAATGAGTTAAAGACATTTGAGCTATTCCAGTCATGTGTGACTTTTCAGACCCACTAGTGCTGTTGCTGCTTTAATTCTGTGTCTTTGCCATTGTTGTTGTCTTGATCCACTCAATGTAGATTTTCTTATGTGAAGACAGTGTTTTGATCATGTCACCTGTGGTTTTCCTTACACCATTCTGTTTAATTGGATGTTTGAATGCTAGACATGTGCTCCTCTAGGTATTTTGGTTTTATATTTTCACTCTCATGATACATAGGTAGCTTTTCCCTTCTTTTAGGACAGCATTTATTATGAGCAGAAATTGTTTTATAGTCTCAAAGAATTATTAGTCCCCTAAATTGATTCCAGGCACCAAAAGCAGTTAAACAATTATTATGGGGTACGCAAAGGGCCAAAGTCAAGGCAGAACATCTGTGGGAAAGTTTAGGTGGGTGGGAACTTGGGGATAGGACAAGAGGCATGAAACAAACCCTCAGCTGTTAGAATTTGTCGGTGTAGGATGAGGATGGGATTTTGTTGATGTGGGTGGTGAGGGAAGAAATCTGTTTTGCTTTTCTATCTCAACATAATATTTTGTCTCCTACCCTCTGTTGTCATTACTTGAAGCTAAGGTCATGTGTACTTCACTGTAATAATTACACCAGATATATATTAGAAATAGTTCTGTAGTGAATTGAAAATTGTATAACAATGTGGACACAATTTGTTGACTCTTGTATTAAAAAGTGTTTTGAATCTAACCTTTGTGTTTTCTAATCTCTCCTCTTGAAGAGAGAAACTTTCCTTTAGTGGAAATACTTTCACTGGGAGCTCTTGCACATTTTAGTGGAATTGTATGCAAATATAGACAATAAAGAACTCAAGTTTTGCTTTCTGTTGTTAAGTTTTGGTTGTGGATGTAAGGGAAATTTTAATTAACTTATTTTATATTAAAACACACACACTAACATTAATATAGTGCCTTTATTATATTAGTAGCCTTTAAGAACAGCTTGATTTCTTCCCCTTTTCTTGTCTTCCTTTCTATGTTCCTTCCTTTTTTGCTTTCCATTTGTATTGAAAAAATGATTACTAATCATTAGAAAATGAAAACATAGACTGTTATTTTCACTGAAATTCATTTTCCATTGTGTATGTGTTCTTCATCTTTTTTTTTCCGGGAACTGGGGATTGAACTCAGGCCCTTGCACTTGCTGGGTGTGTCCTTCATCTTACATGCGGGTTTATGTTGACATCTTCTCCCTCTCAAGGGCCTGTGCCAATCTTGGTCTTGTCTTTCCACTCCTGCTTTTACATCTCCCAGGCTTAACCAGCCTTCTTGGAGTTCCAGTCTTTGACCAGAGTTCTTCCTCTAAAACACCTTTGAAATCAGTTTCAACTTTGTTTTCCCCATTAATTTGGACCTAGTTTTGTCCAGGTTCTATGTTTTATGAGTAGTTCCTCCTCACAACAGTATCTTTATCAGCCTTCTCAAAATTACTCTTTTAAAACCTTGTGGACAAAAATGGTGCAGTTATTCAACTAATATTTTTAAGATGCAGAATTTGGCTATTAATGAAATGACCTTTTATTATTTGATTCCTCTGACATCGAATAAAATCATTCAACTTTTTTTTTTAAAAAAAGAAAATGACTAATGAAATCATATGTCACGTACTCAATTACCTTCATTTTATGCTACTGATCCCATTGATATATACTTAATAGAATAATGGCCAGCCATTCTGTGTCCATCAGTAAATGCTAAATTATTAATTAATAAATGTTAAAATAAATAAATCAGAAAATGCAAAACTAATGAGTAAAGGTTTAATTAGTAAATTTTAAACTAAATCAGTAAGTGTGATAAATGAATTTTAAATAAAACAGTTTACATTAGTCTTCGTAACACTATCATTAACCATCTTGAATCTACATCCAAATGATCAAAAGCCTAATTTTTTATTTAATGAGTTTATCACTTAACATTCTAATTCCTAAATAAAAGTCCAGCTCGCAAGTAAATACAGAAAGAGACTATGCTTTGAGACAGAATAACCATGCCAATCTGCAGGCTTTACCTTTATTTAATTTTAAAGAATTTATAGATGGCTACTGCATTGCGCTATTGTGTCATAGTTGGAACCGTTCTTCTTGCACTGCTAATGGATGGTGCTGATGATCTGCAATGAGTTGAA